GTATAAAGCTGGGAGAAAGGAGGAAGGGGGGGTGAGGTCACCCTTGGTCCTCCGAGGCAACCACTACGCGTATTGGAGCCCCGATTCCTGAGAAGGCCCGACATCGCCTGTCCATGGGAAGTAGAGAATAAATCTGTTTGCTTTTGCTTCCATGCGCAGACCTTTGCTTCATTTTGCTTATATTAAAACTGCTTTGTTTCACCCACAAGTGTTAGTTTATCTTCTTTCCCCTCTTTGCCCTGTTGAGAAAACAAGGGGAAAAGTGGGGGGGGGGGGAAGTGACAGAGCGACTTCAAACCATCAGAGGGATATACAGCATGAACTGCTTGTAGCTAAGCATTAGATATAGCTTGAAAGCATGATTAATACATGTGTAATGAAAATAATTGATGGAAACAATGCATGGTACAAGATAATCACAAGCAGGAAAAGCAACGTATAAGAAATTATTAAAATGTCTATAAAGGAGATTGATGGATGAGAATCTTTGGGTTTAAGGTGCCAGAGAGTTGAGCTCCCTGCAAAGTGCATCATTATGTTGCTAACACACAATGTAGTGATTCCTGCTACTTAAAGGAAAAGCAGTGGTGGCGTGCTGAGCTTTGTGGGTGAGCAGCTTCTGGAAGATCCAGGTTTGCAGACAGACTTGGGAATCTGTGCTGCAAATTGTGACCAGCCATGTTTGTGGTGGTTGGTGGGCGAAAGCCTGCACTGTGTCTGGGAGGAAAGCCTACAGTGTACCTAGAACACTTATGTCTCAAAACCCCCTTGTGAGTTTAAACAGACTCTAGAGGTATATCTAGATGCATAGGGATGGAGAAGTAGTTACCAGAAAACAGGAAGCTGAAGAGAAGAAAAACACATTCTGAGAGGCAGTGTGCAAAAATGTCCCAGGAATGGGTAAGCTCCAGAGCCAAGAGGTCTTGCTGAATCCACAGAAACTGATAATCCCATGACATAGATATATCTACAGAAGGCTACCAGCACACACACCATCAACGAGTCATATAACTCTGGACCCATCCAAGAAGGGGGTGGTGGCTATATGCCAACAAAGATTACAGGATTACATATGCATCTGCAGAAACTGATGGGCTTTCTGAGCATGGACCCCGAAGCCACTGACACATCACTATGAGCCTCTGTATCTGCGAAGACCTCTGTTGTCAGAGTCCCCTTCCCTAGTGGGTAACAATGAGTGATTGCATGTGTGAATCATGAAAGAATAATTTAATTTACTGTCTGGATAGTTATATCTGCTATTAATAGGTCTACTATAACATCTTAATAAAAGGTATGCTAAGAAATAGTGGTTGATCTGTTTCTCCACAGACTTGATCCTGTATCAGGGAAAAGGCAATTTACAACACTTAAACTCCAACGGGAGAAGCTTTATGACAATACCTGTCTCTGCCCTTACCTGTCACTCCCTGTGGTTCCTTAGGGAAATCTTCCTTTTTCAGCCTAACTGTGTTTGCTTTTGTTCTTGTACTTAATGTTCTAAGGGAGTTTCACAGTCCTCTGCCACTTCAGAAAACTGTCTTCTTTCACTCTGATTCTGTTGAGGTAGCACAAGGTCAATGACTTTGAATGACTTAGAACTTTGCTGTGCCTTTGGCGAGGTCAGGCATATTAAAACAAGGTGGAAACGAACAGACATATTAATGAGATAGGAGGTCCCTAGAATTTCAAATGATGTGGTTAAAGTAAGTATTTCATATGGAGTTTTGAAACAGTCATGGTATAATGTGGATGCAGGTTCATGGCTTAAGATGGCCATCCATGTGCCTGCATGTCATATGCTATGTGACTTTGCAACCAGCAGCACTTGCTCCTTCATTTAGATCAGGGCTGAAAATAACCCCCTGGAAAACTGTATTCTTCAAATAATTTGTGAGAAGGAGTTTGAGTTAATGGTTGGACACAGGTTACAGCCTCTTCTGACTGTTGAGGGTGGCCCTATGGCTGTGAATGTCTAATGACCCATATACTTAAACATACTTCTCCACTAGTGCCCTGCTGGCTCTCTGGGCATCAGCCATGCACGGCCATTCTTGTTGCTCCTTTGCAACAATGCAGAAGAGGTGGTGGTTGCAGTTGTCAGGAGAGATGGAAGCTGGAGTGTGTGTTTAAAAAGGTCTCTTCTGCCAGAGGAGCAGGTGTCTCCACAGAACCCCTTGGGTGAGGGACCTATAGGGGGAAGGAACAACCTTCTTCCTCTTCTACAAACAAATCTGAGGTATTAACTCTGTGGCTTCTGAAATTGAAAGCAAACAAAAACTGTTCAGGAAACTTATGTGGGTTTTTTTTTTTTTTTTACAGTATGATTTCAGCTGACATTTGAAGAGTTAAGAAATACTTAATTCCTAGTTTTAAAGAACAGTAAATCTGTGGCGATGAGTGGTTTTCTAGAAGAAAGGCTGAATGTACTGATGCATTTAAATGAAAATTAGGCAGTCCTGAAGTCCAGCCATGCTTTCAAAAGCCTAAAGGCAACTTCTTCATAGAGTAGATTTTGCCTCCTTTGTTTCTTTGACTTTTGTCAGATTTGGGGCTTTTAACTCTATTTAGAGTATCTACATTAAAATATTATAATATAAAGATCACATGGTTGTGACTGATAAATTTCAGATGTTAATGGGCTGTGGTCAAATCACAGTTCTTCATCAGGATGTAGCTGTGCTGTGGGCAACCCATTTCCCTGCGAATACTGCTTAAAAACTGCACTCTGGGATACTTCCTGCTTCTGCTTGAAAATAAAAGCATGAGTCATCCTGCAAGGCGATTAAGGAACAAATGAAATAAATAGCAGTGAATGACTCTCATAATACCTCCAGTATACTTCCAGATCTACTTGTAAAACATTATCAGGTTTCCTAGATTTGTACTTTTCCAGTTTCTGGTTATTTGTAAGTGTTCAGACTGCCTGATGGAAAGGATTAATAGAAATGAAAATCAATTAGCATAGGATAGGGCAGGAGGCAAAAAAATTTCCAACTTCTTCAAAGCAAGGCATGAGGTAAGTGTCTTCTAACTTTTGCTTAATTTGGAGGAAGGGAATTGTAAGTAATGAGTGCTCCCAAATTGTGAGGGAAAGTAAGAGTCACCCTTTCTTGGGAATAATTAATACCTGTAGTGATAAGAGTTATTCTAATTAGCATAGGTTTAAAAAGTAGTTTATTATGATTACTTACTGATAGCTATACTTGTGTGCCTAATGACTGCTGTTGGCTATTTATTTGAAATTAAGGCCCAGCTGTAGGGCATGTTTTAATTTAAACAGCATGTGTGTACAACTCTCCTGTTTGGGTGGAAAAAAACATAAAACAAACCCCAAACCAACGAACAAGCTGATACTGTTACAGCTGTTGCACCTTTTTCTTACTTCCCCCACTGTCCTCAATGCCATGGTATCCTACCTTCTGCAGATTCTGTATTTCAGATACTTGCTGTAAGCAGGTTATTGTAAGTCATGTTATTATTTAAGTCATTACTGGGGTTCTTGTGTCCTTGCTGTCTGCTCCTTATGAGAAACTTATGAGAAGCATCACCTTGCCATCACTGATGCCGAAATTGGACTTTCTGTTGAAGCTACTTAGCGTCTGCATTTCCTGTGAATTTACCAATGCATTCTGTATCGGACTCTTCTGTTGTGTTTTGTAACTATTTACATTTCATTTACATGTAACTGTAAAAATGCCTCTAGATCTATTGCAATTTTGCAGGGTTAAAGTATTAATCTAAAAGGTAAATAAAAATATTACTTCTATTTCCTCCTTCAGTGTGACATAAAAATATTTCTGGAATTCCTGGCTAACACTGGCCATGAAACTTTGCTTTAACACTTTGTTAGATTAATTTAAATATACACTATTGTCTTTTCGGGAAAGTCTATATGACAGCAAGCACAGCTGTTCTTCATTTGTTGCTCCAGGAAGTTACACTAAGCATAAACATGGATTGGTTTTACTGTTGTGTATGGCGGTTCTTGGAGTGTGTTGTCAAACAATGGGGTCCCCTCCTGGTAGGTTTCTTAGAAACATATTAGAGGTGGTCCCTGGGGCAGAGAGGTTGCAGCTGAAGACAGAATACATGTAGGATGGCTAAAGCAAGAAAGGAGGAAGGTACATGTAACTGTTTTACTCTTTTGAGGCTGGATTTAAGACATCATAAGTTACATGGATGAAAGCTTTTGAAAGACTGAGGGATGGAGCAGGATGAAAGGGAATGGGTTGGAGTGCACAGTACATGGCAGACACAGATACTTCAGATGCTAAAAAAACAGTTTCCTATTTTGACTTGCTCTTTCAGCTTTGCACTACTGTTATTTCTGCTTTGAAGACTTTCCCTAAACTACCTAGGGAAGAGACATTAGATGGGTCACACTTGAGTGAATTGTCTCCAGGTGTTTCTGAATCTAAGGAACACATTAGGAAAAGAGTGGCCTTGGTCATGTCCACTCAGGCAAAGTGCTAAAATAAACAAAGCCAAAAGAGATTTTAGCATTAACTGTTATTCAGGGCACTGCTGTGATGCAGGAAGCTCTGTTCACATTACCTATTTATGCATACCAATGGCAGGGATCGGCTTGCGTCTGTGCAGTGCCTGCTTTTAACTGTTAGAGCTACTACTGTGGAGATGTTTTGATACTGCTAATTTTTATAGACTAGTGACATAAATTTGCGCAGAACACTACAGGTGGCAGTACTAGGGGTCTCTAAGCTTGAAAATCTGTTTTCTTCAGGTCGTCTAGTCCAGGTTTTTGACCCTGAGCCAAAGTGTTTGTAACGTGGTAGTGCAGCACTAGGGCGATCGGACAAAGGATGCATTTTTAGCAGGGATAGGGTTGTGTGTGTAAAGTAAGGTGAAGCTTGCACAGCAGGCTGTGATTGGGAAGGTGCAGGTCTGTATGCTGCTTTGGTGCCGATTTCAGAAAAAACACTTCCCTTTCCAACCTTTGAGCCTCCCAACAGCTGCAACTTTGCCAAGCAGCTATGGAGATGAATGTGCAGTCTGGATTTTCTCACAGATGCAGCTCACTGGCTGCCGCGGGTCACTCTTCGCGCAGGACACTTCAGTTTGTCGAGCAACCCTCCCAGGCGTGCCCCCGGCAGAAGCCGGCCCCGCTGAGTGGAGCCCAGCCGCCGCCGCAGGCCCGGCACGGGGGAAGGGCCGGAGCAATTCGCACGCTTCCGTGTGAGGGCGGGGCCCGCCTCGCACGCACCAATCAGAGTGCGGGAGAGGGGGTGAGTGGCATGAGACCAGGGCGCCAAACGACCTCTCCTGGGAGCGGAATGACGCTCCACCTCCCGCGCTCTTCGCAGCCAATCAGAATCGCGTCCCGTCTCCCCGTCCCGCCCCTGCCGGAAAAGAAACAATGGGAGGTGCCACTCAGCCGTTCAGCCAATCAGCGGCCGAGCCAAAATAAAGCCCCAAACTCCCCGTCGCCTCCCTCTCGCGGCCCGCGGCGTGGGGGGGTCGCTCCGGCCGGCGGCCTTTGCTGTGGTGGCGAGAGCGCCCGGTCCCTC